GACGACTATATCATATAGCTCCCATACAAATAATAAAAATATATAAAAGAACAATCAAATAATTAAGCTGCAAATCGTCATAGCTTCAATGTTTTTAAACATATACGCAAGTAAATCATAATTTTAATGTTTTCAAAAATATTTAATTCTTGCGATAGCTGCAAGGGTATATGAACTTCGGCTTGCCGAAGTTTGCTTTCTTTCTTGTTGAAAGTGTTTTCTAAAATATAAGAATTTTTATTTTTTCGTCTCAAATTTAAGCAGTTTTTTTTTCATAACTGCCGCTCTTTGATTTTCTAAATTTACTGGTAACATTTTCTAGCTTTCGGTAAAAGCTTTCTGTCCGTCTGTCCATCTGACCGCCTGTCCGTCAGTCTATTTGTTCGTTTCTAAGCAAAGTAGTCTCCCAGCTTTAAACCTATCTGCGTAAAACCTTCCCAAAAGCTGTCTTCTATTGCAGGTAGTACATAAGACGGAACGAGCTAGTTCGGACGACTATAGCGTATAGCTCCCAGATTATAATTTCAGTCAGAAGTTTACAACGCAGTGAAAGAGACATTTCCGACCTTATAAAGTATATATATTCTTGATCAGCATCACTAGGCGAGTCGATCTAGCCATGTCCGTCTGCCCGTCCGTCTGTCCGTCCGCCCGTTTCTACGCAAACTAGTCTCTCAGTTTTAAAGCTTTCTGAATGAAACTCTCCCAAAAGTTGTCTTTCTATTACATGTAGTATATAAGTCGGAACGAGCCAGATCGGCCGACTATAGCATATAGCTCCCATAGGAACAATCGGAAAAATAAATAAAAAAAAATTATAACTTTGATGTTTTTTAATTTTTTTGTTAGTTCTTCGAGATATAGTACTGGATAAATATTTCAGAATTACGATTTAAATTTCATCAAAATCGGACGACTATAGCATATAGCTCCCATAGGAAGAATCATAAAATTAAATTTAAAAAAATTATAACTTTGGTGTTTTTTAATTTTTTTGTTAGTTCTTTGAGATATAGTAATGGTTAAATATTTCAGTAATACGATTTAAATTTCATCAAAATCGGACGACTATAGCATATAGCTCCCATAGGAACAATCATAAAAATAAATTTTAAAAAATTATAACTTTGGTGTTTTTTAATTTTTTTGTAAGTTCTTCGAGATATAGTAATGGTAAAATATTTCAGAATTACGATTTAAATTTCATCAAAATCGGACGACTATAGGATATAGCTCCCATAGGTACAATCATAAAAATAAATTTTAAAAAATTATAACTTTGCTGTTTTTTAATTTTTTTTTAGTTCTTCGAGATATGGTAATGGTTAAATATTTTAGAATTTCTTCAAAATCGGACGACTTTAGTATATAGCTCCCATAGGAACAATCGGAAAAATAAATAAAAAAAAATTATAACTTTGATGTTTTTTAATTTTTTTGTTAGTTCTTCGAGATATAGTACTGGATAAATATTTCAGAATTACGATTTAAATTTCATCAAAATCGGACGACTATAGCATATAGCTCCCATAGGAACAATCATAAAATTAAATTTAAAAAAATTATAACTTTGGTGTTTTTTAATTTTTTTGTTAGTTCTTTGAGATATAGTAATGGTTAAATATTTCAGTAATACGATTTAAATTTCATCAAAATCGGACGACTATAGGATATAGCTCCCATAGGTACAATCATAAAAATAAATTTTAAAAAATTATAACTTTGCTGTTTTTTAATTTTTTTTTTAGTTCTTCGAGATATGGTAATGGTTAAATATTTTAGAATTTCTTCAAAATCGGACGACTTTAGTATATAGCTCCCATAGGAACAATAGTATAGCTGCCATAGGAACTATCGAATAATTAAGCTGCAAATCATCATAGCTTCAATGTTTTGAAATATACACGCAAGTAAAGTATTTCGTTTTTGAAATAGCTGCAAGGGTATATGAACTTCGGCTTGCCGAAGTTCACTTCCTCTCTTGTTTTTTTCAATATTCCGATTGTACCCATGGAAGCTACATAATATAGTCGGTAAATTTTTTTTTAAATTAAAACCGTAATACTGAAATAATAAACCATTACTACCATTACATCGAAGAACCAAAAAAAAAAAATTAGAAGGATTCCTTTATTGTTTCACATCACAAAAAAAACAGTAAGTCTGATATTAGAAGCTACTGCCAATCTAAGCAATCTAATCTGATGTCAGAGGGGCTATAACCTAATCGGAGCGTGAAGTGATAATATTTTACGCCATGAACAAAGCGATTTCTTGATCCTACTATATTGGGAGTAAACAAACTGTCGTAATTAAATTCTGCACGTCAATACATTTTTATTTTGGTGAACATAGCTTTCCTAGTTAACCGTAAATGAAGGTAAATGCAGTAAATCAAATATTCCAAACCATGATTGAAAAATTAAAGAAAAGGTTAAATTTGCGCAATTTGAAAAATAGTTTATTAATGCTCAGAATGCTGAAAAAACTCGTACGTTTTGAGCGAGTTTACGCGATACAGCTGGTTCAAAACTCCTTTCGCTTTATCGCTGTTACTCGCATATAGCTTTGCCGAAGTTTGCTTTCTTTCTTGTTAGATCTTTTTTTAAATTTGTTAAAATATCAAATACGGTCAGAATAATTGCTAATTTGTAACATCAAGGTCGATTTTAGAAGTTTTATTTTCAGAGTGATAAGATATAAATAATCAACCGGTCACCGGCTATCACTTCAGAGATTTCTGCGGTACTCAGACATGGACAGGCTGCAGCAGCTCAGATTAACAAGAATATAAGTAGAGAATTGAAGTTAACTGCAATGATTGCAGATCACTTTTATTAAAGCTATTATCCATTTAAAAAAAACGATGATGGGTCGCATGGCGGTAAAAAAAATGTTGCGGTCAAGCAAAAGTTTCTCGGGCGTGCAATAGTAGCTTTTTTTGGCAGGTCTTATTAATGTCACGTGGCCCGGTTTGAAGTATTCAGGCCCCCTGCTGTGCGATGATGCATGCGGCAGGAAAATGTTTTCGCATCAAATGCAGCCTATTTGCGTGTCGACCCAACAGAATCAGGAGTCTAGAAGCTCACCCCACAGTCGACCACTGTGATTTCTGGAAACTTCCCCTCCGCCTGGGCAATTATCATGCTCCCAAATTAGCAGGCTGCTTCAAACGTCCTCACACAGACCCCATCAAAGTAAAGTTTTCCCATGCAAAAAAAAGCATCGAAACTTAACAGAAGCAAATTACGCACACGAATTGCCCTGGACAATAAAAAACAAAAAAAAAACCGAGAAGAATGGCGAATAAATTATGAACAAGCGGGTAGCATGAGGTTGGTGTGTGTGCAGGGGTGGTTTAACATCTACTTGCGCGTCTAATTTGTTGGAAAATTAGTTTTGTGTGTTTTGTGCGTGTAATTTTCATGAAAGCCGAACTGAGCTCTGATGAAGATCTGCACTTGATTTTGATTGAAATACGCTGAGAAAAGAGCAGCAAAGCAGTTTGCTTTAAGAAGAAGAAGAATCTGGGTCCGTAATCATAATAGGCAATATTTATAAAAATCAAAAATCAAATTTTTGTTCACAACATTTTTTTTTTCAAAGTGCACACAAAAAATTTTAAAAAATTTTAAGAACTTAAACAAAAAAATGTATTTTTAAAAACGTTCAATAGAATGCAATAAAAACAAGAAACAGGTAACCAATTTAAAAATAGATAACATATATATGACCCGTGAAACAATAGTGCTTAAGGAAGCGCCATTAGCCGGAAAATGTACATTTATGTCAATAACTTTTAAAATTTTGGCCTGATTTTGATCAAATAAACATTATAATAAAGCGTAACAATATACCATTTTAATATCGTGTTTAACTATAGTTAATATATAGTATATATATACTTTAATACCGCTACTCAACATAACATGTGTCAAAATTCCGCGTAGAATGGATGGAATCTGACTTTTTATTTACTTATAATTATTATTTTAACAGTAATATATATAAATTATTCGTGTAAACTTTGGAGTTTACAGAAAATAAAATTAATAAAAATAATTATGATCAACATTTTTTGTAACACTTTGCAGAAAAAAACCCCCATATTACTTAAATAACCTAATTTGTTTTTCCTGCTAAATACTCTTAATACACAACCGAACTGAGTACCTGAATGAAGCTTTGATCATGTATTTCGAATATGCCGTCGTAGTTGATATATACAGGCCTGTTCCAATTTTCATTCGGAAGTGAGTTCGTTAACACTGGCGGATTTCCCTTTAACATAATTAGAGTTCCCTTGGGGGAACATAAAACAGCTGACTGCCGCTAATGCTCCTAACAAAAGCCTATGATTTGCCTAAGTTTTCCAGGCAAATGTCTTATCAAAATTTGACCCGCTGCTGTTCCTAATCTTTGTGCATTATTGGTGCACACATTTATTGTCTAAAATCAGTAAAAAAATCATTGGTAGACAATAATAACAAGTTTTACTTATTTTAAAGGCAGTGATGGAAACTGACCAGTAAAAGTGTTGAACAACTCGTGTGAGTCAGCTGCTTGGCATCACTGTTGCAAACTTTTCAAATGTAGTGTTCAGAAACAGAGTTGCCAAGAAAATAATTTTTTTTTTCGTACCATGACAACCCGTGCTTTGTTTCTATCAAATCGTTCGGAAACTAGAACAGGGGCGGCAGTTTGTCTTCTTGATTTCGGTAAATCCGTTCTTGGCTCACTATTGAGCACGGAAATACTGAAATAGACACTGTTGAGAACGGTTTTTTTCCAGTAAAAATGCCAGATCCCAAATAGTGTTCGAATTTTGTGTTTTTTTTTTCCTCTTTTATTTATTTTTTTTTATACATTTTCATTCGAAATTATATAGCTAAATATATTTTAATCATATAATTTTCTTATCAATAATTATAACTTACATATGAAGGGGAGGGGTATGTCTCTTTATCTCCTCTGCTGTGATGAATTCAAGGCACTCAAACTTAACACCGACCCCTAGAAATAAAGTGGCATTGTGGGGCATTGGTCAGGTAGTTTAGTTCTTCGAAACTGGCGATCTTGTTCTTGCGGATATAGAGCTCCTTCAGCCGGTGACAATTCTGCAGGCTGCTCAGCATATTGATCTTGTTCACGCTGAGAGACAGTACCTCCAAATGAAGCATCTCCAGGCAGATCTTTATGTCTTCCAAATCGCTGTCCCAAGCATTCAGCTTCACGATATTGCGGTAGTCGGAGCACTTGGACTTGCGTTTCTCCGGGAATCTCGTTGAGCTTCAATGTGAGCAGCTGGAAAAGCCATCCGTGAACTTCGGCCGGCACCTTGTTCAGTTTCTTTTCAGCCGCCCGCAATTCTGCATCCATATCAATGCGCTTGATGTTTCTTTTACATATCTCCCGAGTGATCTCATTGATTTGTCTCTTGATTTCGGACCGCTTTTTGGCGCCATCGATGGCTGCTTCCGCCTCCACGGCTTCCTTTTCGAGCTTTTCCTTCTGCTCAAGATACTTCTTGCCCTCCGTCTCCACCCTTTCAACATGTCATCTTCCGCTGCTTTGATCCCCAAATAATAACGTTGTTTGTAAAGGAATCGCTGATGCGCTGTTCGTTTATTACCTCCATGGTGAATTGGATTACGGTGTGGCTCCTCTCGACGATCGCCAGACTTTGTTTGATTTATTTGCACCTCTTTTCTAAAGACTCGTAGGCTGTAATACTAAAAATATTCAATTTTTTTTAAAATATATATACAAAAAAAAAACAAGAAAGAACGCTATAGTCGCAATCGATCGCCGACTATTAGATACCCGTTACCACTAACCATACAACATATAGACTAGTCATTTCATACAACGCATTCGGACAATAAAAAACGGATCGCGGGAGGCCCCCCATGCTCACAGCAACAGGCCCCTGCACTTCGTGTGCGTTCGGGTTTTTGCTCTCTCATTCTTATTCTCATTTTTATGCTCGCGCACTCATTGCACGAGTTCAGTCGTTCAGTCATTCAGTCGCAGAGAGGCGCTTTTTGAAGAAGGTTGCCCTGCGCTTGAATTCGTCTTTGTATGTATGCGTGATCATGCATTCTCGTACACGGGAGCATGTGTGCGTTTATTTCATTTCGGCGCATCAAGAATATTTTCAAACTTTTCAAACTTGGTACCCTAAGAATATGGGCGTATATACTATTGGGTTATGATAAAAATATGAATATTATATGTTATAATATATTTGTTTAATAATTCAGCATACATTTTATTTTTGTTTACAAATTCAAATCAGTCGTAGCAGTAAAATGTTTTACATACATATATGTATTCGAATTTATAGAAATCAGTACACTGAGATGGGAACAGGGCATATCGCAGTCGTGTCACTTGAAACACCGACTGCTCTTCAGTGGTTGAGAAAACTTCAAACTAAATCAGTTCTTGTCGATGTTTTACGAGCGGTTGGTGCCTGCATACCCTATCGACGAATGCTTTTAAGGGGAACGGGCTTTTATGATACTTGTTTTAAATGGTATGTTTCGTGATCTTTGGTTGATTTATTTTTTAATGATTCGCAGTGTTATTTTAATTGTCTTTAAACAAGTAATAAATAATAAAACACTTTTTATATTTTTGTAAAGGTACATGGAACAAATATAAAAATCCGCATTTTTTTAATGATAATAATTTTAGATTTTGATTGTACCAATATCTTGGATTATAAAGAATTGTTTAAAGACAATTAAAATTACAATTGCGGTGATACATTTGCAGTTGCAATATCATAAGCTGATGCGCCGTGGCGCGCTTTGATTGCTACCAACACATGTGAAAATGTTGTGTAACTACATTATAGTGCCGCAAGGCACTCAAACTTAACACCGACCCCTAGAAATAAAGTGGCATTGTGGGGCATTGGTCAGGTAGTTTAGTTCTTCGAAACTGGCGATCTTGTTCTTGCGGATATAGAGCTCCTTCAGCCGGTGACAATTCTGCAGGCTGCTCAGCATATTGATCTTGTTCACGCTGAGAGACAGTACCTCCAAATGAAGCATCTCCAGGCAGATCTTTATGTCTTCCAAATGGCTGTCCCAAGCATTCAGCTTCACCATATTGCGGTAGTCCGAGCACTTGGAATTGGCTTCCACAAGCCACTCCGTCAGTCTATTCATTATCTCGATCTATAACACATATAATACAATTTGGAATTCAATTTATCCATGCTGTACAAAAAAAAACGCACCTATCACGCCAGTGTTTTGGTAAAAAAAAAGCAAACCAGAAAGAAAGCTAACTTCGGCAAGCCGAATCTTATATACCCTTGCAGCTTTTGCACAAATTAAACATCTTTAAGAAATTTAAATTTTAAATATTATTGAAACCCAATGAAGCTATGAAGATTTTCACCTCAACTATTCGATCGTTCCTATAGCAGCTATATGATATTGTTTTCCTATTTAAATGAAATCAAAGTCGTATTTCTGAACTATTTAACCATTCCTATGTCCAAATGAATTACAATAAATATTGAAAATTAGAGAAGTACATTTTATATTCATTTATTTTATTTAATATTCCGATTGTATATTCGTTCGATTTTGATAAAATTTAAGCCATAATTCCAAATAAATAAGCTCTAAATATCGAAGAACTATAAAAAAAGAAATTTTTAAAACAGCAAATTGATAATGCACATAGCTTTAAAACTGAGAGACCAGTTTCCAGAGAAACAGACAGACGGACTCTGCTAGTGATGCTGATCAAGAATAAATATGTATTCTTTGTAGGGTCAGAAGAGTCTCCTTCACTGCGTTTTAAACTTTTGACTAAAATTATAATGGTACAACAAGGTAAAACGTAGCAGCGGGAGACTAAACGTGGTCAAATTAAAAAAAAAAACAAAAACCAAACTATTTATTTATTATTATGCACAAAATGTTTTTTTTTTACCCATAGTGCAATGTTTATGTTACAAGGCTCAGTCCCCTTTTTAGCATTGGCGTTCCTAGATAGCATTATTCATTTTTTTTTCGATTTGAAAATTAGTTTGTAAAATGTTTACATTACAAAGTGTATTTACATCTACACACAAAAAAATAATCTGGAAGTTCAATTTGATATTTAGAAGAGATTTTTATTTTACACATTGAAAAATGTAAATTTGATTTTGGAAAATGGTATTGTTTCAATTTCTCTCTCTTTGAAAGTTCTCTCAAGTCGAAAAAGAGAAAATCCTGCAAGGTGGCGACAAAAATCGAATAAGTTAGAGGGAGAAGCACAGTTACTAAATTCAAACTCCCGAATTCTACACGTGCTGTCCCGCTTGCACGGCTTTCGCATTGCTTGTTTTTAAAGTGATCTTTGCGTTTTGCAAGTAGAGTTTAGAAAGGAAAAAGTGAGTAGAGCGAAATTATAATGTAAATGTAACTAATAAGCTAAAGAAGTTATTGTTTTAGTAACATTTGTGTGAGTATCTTTACTGGCCGGTAAAGAATACTTTTTGGACAAATTTTCATTTCCTAATGTCATTGCTTGCGTTAATGGCATGCATGTTAAAATAATAAAGCCAGTCACGGACACTTCCTTATATTTAAATAGAAAAGGCTATTACAGCATTAATGCAATGGTGGTAAGTTTCTTTAAAGAATTATTTAAATTCGTTAGTGTTGTCTAGCTATGTGTTCCTTTAAGGTATGCAACTACAATATGGAGATATTAGCAATTGATGCCACACATCCTGGAACAACAGCATTTAACGCCGTAAAAATGAAACTCTGGAGCTCGTCAAAGTTTAAATAAATTGTTCGGACAACATAAATTAGTTCCTAAATAATACACGCAAGAAAACCGAAAATAATTTTATCACTTTTTCTTGAAAATGTTAACTTCAACAATCCGCCGGTAAGCCGATTTTATACGGATTTTACTGTCTGCAAAAAAAGGGTAGTTTTCGACTGTTAGACTGTTCCCTTCGTTTACATCTGCAAATATTACTTAACATATGCTTTTCAGCCACTAACAGCCCTAAAATCACAATTTTTGCAAATAAAATTGGCACAAAAACATGTAAAAATCGTTATTTACACAAAAAAAAAATGGTACCAAACAAAAAATGTGTCATTGATTTAATCAGGAAGTACACCTGAACCGGAAAAATATGGTTTAATCTCCAGAGGATAACATCGATTTAAATTTTTAAGCCAGTGTAATTTGAGCCTTTAAAATTAAAGCTAGCTTATATTTGGGTGCCAGTTTTAGCAAGTGAGCTTCGCACAACAGCCATTCGTGAAAGAAAGTCTTCCGAATTCAGCATATTTGTGCTCTCCGCTATGTAGTGGGAAGAAATTGAAAACTATTATATTATTTAGTATTAAACAAATATTTATACTTAAATACTGCCTGTAATTTATTTCAAGGCGCACGTATTAATTTTAAACTTTCGGTTATTTTTGGTTTTGGCAAAGATCCTTTTTCCTTTCAATTTCGTGTAATATTGAATACGATAAGGCCATTCACTTTTTTCGGTACCTAATCCTTAAAACATACAGAATTTTTTCAAACTTACTATAAGTTCTTCTTTTTGTACAGCTGTTACAAATTGCAGCCTTACTTCTGCCTACTTTTCACTTCAGTTATTTACGCGAAGGAAAATCTTTTTGAATGAATATGAAACAATTCCTGACAGATTCGTTCATTGTTTGGCGTCTGCGCCACATATTTTGCATTAAAAAAAAAATATTCGCACGTTTTCCGTTAAATGGATTTCGGTTAAGTGCTGCCGCCCTTTTTTTGTTTGTTTCTTCCTTTATTTTAGGTCGCAGTTGATTGCAATGGTTGCGACTGCGCAGACGACTTGTCTTGGGAGTCACTCGAGCGAAGGGGATCTTCTTTGATTGTAAAGGCGTCACTGATGTGCGTGCAGCAGGTCCGCTGCCTTCTTTTTTCACCAGATTGCAATCGAAGGAACAAAGAGATAAACAGTAAACGATGATGCCTTTCGGATACTCTCAAGGAAATGTGTATTATTCTCTGAAACTGGTAAATTAAATTATTGGCCTTGGGTATATGGAAAACTCAACTGCTTAATGTGGTTAAATAAAGAGGTTTTGAAAGAAATAATAGAAGAGCAAGTTTTGTTACAGTTGGTGATTGTATTTGATTCGCATTGTACTAATTAATTCAGCCTTGTCTAGTCAAACTTTACATATTTATCACTTTCAACCAAACTACGAAAGTTGCAGCTTTTATTCAATATTATTTTTTTTTCGTTCTAATGTTAAGTCTACACCAGCCTGCTGTTCTCTAAGCTTTGGAAATCAGAAAAGGACAACGTAGTCATCGCATTTAATGCCAGTTCAATGGCACTTTACAATTTAATAATGTTAATGTATGCATAATTTTAAAATAGTATTTTCAAGAATATAATATTTTTATTTTGGTGTAAATAAAATATTTACTCTTGGAAGGGTTCAAAACAAAAAGAAAATGATTTCTGTGAAACGGGGCGACACAGGAAACTGGTTTAATTGACTGAGAACTTAAAGAGGCGTGAATTTTCCTTAAGAAGATTTCGATGATGGGGAGAAGCAGACATTGTATGTTTATGTAGAAATAGCTTTCGCCACTGCATGAGTTACAAAAAAAAATTAAATTATCGAGCCGAAAGTTAAATTCAATTCAATTAGTAGCATATTTTGCTGGCGAGATACAAAAGCAAGGCAATACAGACACAATGCCTGCAGATAGCGGCAATTTATGAGGTCCATGCCATCGTCAGCATGTGGTTCCAGGCCCCTTGCCGCCTTTCAGAGACTTCTCCCATTTTCATTATTTTTGTATTTTGCATGTCTTGACACTGGACTGGAAAGCAAGGGGTCCCCGATGTTCACACTCAACAGCATGCGATCTTCAGATCCCAGTGCTGTGAATGAGTCTTGGGGCGGGAGTCCGGAATTCTTCGAGTGGCAGTGGGAGGTGACGTTGTGCATTTGCACAGTCTTTTCCGCGCTCGTCGTTGCGTGGCGTCGAAATGATTTAAAAGTTGGCGTGTGTGAATATTGTTGTTCAACAGGCGACACTCCCAGCTGACCCCGATGAGTCTGGCATGTGTGCCTGGAGCCAATTAAGGGTCGTTCTTTGTTGCACTGAAACCTAAATGACAATCCAATTATAAACGAAAGACGAGTATATGTAGTAAACCTAATACTCTCTTAAGTTTCACTTAGCTTTGGTTTTACTCTCCTACCGAATTAAGGAATGAACGGGTTGCCAGGGCTATGAACTAATTTTTAGTTTCCTCATTTTATAAAATGGAACGTAAAAATAATTCAATTCAAAACAGACAGATAGACAATTGCAAGATTATCCAAAACAATTTAATATCCGATCAATTATTACTTCAAGAACATTAATTTTAACTTTTTTGTGAGTACTTCAGACTTTTCTCATCACTTCAACTTAATGACCCATTGAGAGGCAGCTTGCCACTGCGCTTGAATAAAAGTAGTCAGGGGGCGGGCGGCGCTAGATGGGGCGTGACAGGTTGCTTTAAATGACAAATTACAAGTATTTACATGAAAAACACAACAAGATGCCAGGATGCCAAGATGCCGAGATGCCGGCAGTCTGCGTAATCGATGCGGGGCGCGCAAGTTTCGAGAGCCGGTGGCTGAGGAGCTCTTCAAACCACCAAGGTGGTGCAGAAAAACCACACGTCAACAGAACGCCTCGCGAAAGACAATCGAGGTGATGGCGAGGGCGCCGGAAAATTGTAGCCACGACGCGTAATTGAGCGTAAAAAGGCAGGCCAAGAAGTAAATTCTTGGCGCCACCTGCGAGCCGAGCTAGTTACTGAAGCATATTATTATTCCCCAATGAAGTACATTTAGTTATCGAATTCAACTTTATTAATTTATTTAATTCGTTTAACACGTTACATTGGCTGTGATAAGCAAAATCAAAAAAAAAAAACAAGAAAGAAAGCAAACTTCGGCAAGCCGAAGTTCATATACCCTTGCAGCTATTGCAAGAATTTAACATTTTTGAAAACATTAAAATTATGATTTACTAAGTATATGTTTAAAAACATTGAAGCTATGACGATTTGCAGCTAAATTATTTGATTGTTTTTTTATATATTTTTATTATTTGTATGGGAGCTATATTATATAGT